AGGCTGAGCATGGCTCAGCCTCACAAAAAGGTAAGGGGGAGCTGGGCCCTTCTCTGGTGGGAGGAAGGGTCTTGTGCCAGCCTGGAGAGCCTGTGCACCTTCCCAGGGAACAGCTGTGCCCTGCACGTGCCCCTGCGATGAGCTGTGCTCCCAGTGCCCCGTGGAGCTGTAGGGCTGCTCAGCTGTGGGGCAGGGAGAGGTAATGGAAGGTGCATCTCTTACAGTTAGAAAATGCGTTATCTAGTGTCAAGAACACAGTTCACATTTGGGTAACATTCCCTCAATGCTAAGCTTTTCTTTGAGTTTCCTCTAAAATATTCTAACAAAGAGAAGAAAATGTTGCTAAATGCATACAGGTATTAGAAAACGGGACTTCTTTTAGGAACGAGAAGGAATATGTTTACTAAAATCAGCATGAATAAGGGCAAATAGGAATCTCTGTCAAGAGCAATCTCCATCTCTGCCCTTCTCTATCAAACACAGAGGCTCTCCAGCATCCATGGGCTATAGCCTTCATCATGCAGCAGGTTTCAGTCTGCTGGCCAACAGAGAAAATTCATGGCTGCTGCCAGTAGCCCATCCCTTGGGAGAGGGTCTAGGCAGATGTACCTTGCTGCTCTCAATCCCAGTCTCTGTGTTTTATGGGAGCTCTGCAATCTGGAACCTGTCTTGCCTGTTGCCCAGCATGGTGTTTTTGGGGGCTTGAAGTCTGCCAGAGATTTACGAGAGCCTTTGCTTCCATTACCAGGCCTCCCACTGAGCCGGGCCAAGGAGCTGGGTCATCCCAGCAGTCCTGGTCTTAGCAGTGACAAAGAGGTGAAGGAAGGCTTTAGAAAGGTAAGGAATAAAGACAGGGATGAGCAGACCTCCTTTCCAGTGGCTATTTAGTACTTGGCCCACAATGTCACTGAAAATCATAATCTTCCCCTCCTGGGGGAAGGGGATTCTCTTGGGAATATATTTGACAGCTACAGAGCAATTGCTTGGCTATTTCCAGTGGTGTCAAGTTTGGAGATGGTGTTAAGGTCATGCCAGAAGCATACTTTATGTGCAAAGGCTGTTTTAGAGAAGTTCTGAATGACGGAGTAAGCTACACATTAGTGAATGTAGGCAAAGTGCACCCTCAGAAGCAGAGAAGCAAAGATTCTAATGTTGAGTGTAAGCAAGGCTGCGAATTAAAAGGGGAGAGTTTGACTTTTCTGGGTTACCTTTGTGGCCGTATCTCACAGCCCTCTCACTCTCAAGTTTTCTGCTCATTAACATCAGTGTTTCTGCAACTTGTTTTCACGATTCCTCTTTTTGGTCTCATGGTCTCAGAGACCAAGTCCTTCAGAGTCCTTCAGAGCTGAGTCTTTCAGAAGGCAGGAAGGGAGAAACAGCTGCAATTCCTGGCCATGAGTGTTAAGCAACAGCTCATTACCCCTCCTTGCTGGGTATTGCACATGTTTTTTATTCTCCTGCCATGGCCTGTAGGAACTGAACTGCCTGCTCACTGGCCATGTGAGCTCTTCATCTGTCTTGGAGCACTCCTAGGACTTTCATGCTTCAAGCAGAGCTTCCTGACATAGGTTGCAGTTGCAGCAGTGTAAGGTTGTGGCACTGAAGGGTTCCACCTTGCTGTGTGCAATTGCCAAGGTGAGGATGGGAGAAATTCCTCTGAAACTACTGGAATGTCTATGGAGCTGCACTGAAGCCTGTGGCACCCTATCTACTCTGTGCTCGGGATGAGATGTTGTGTCTGCTTTGTGTGTCTCTGCTTACAGTCTGTGATGTATTTCCATTGCACCTAGATCCATGCTGCATTGTGGCAGTTGGCTGAAGAGCACTTAGAGCCAGAGGACATAGAGCATATAATGGAAGGGATTAAGAATAGAAGAAAAAATAATAGATTCTTGCAGCTTCCTGAGACAGTTGAGCCTGGAGATGAAGCAAGTAAGTGGTGGCTACACTTGTGGTCCTTTCTGACCACTTGCTTGCCCTTTGCACATTGTTGCAATCAGACTGGGGGGCTGTTCGGCTTGCATCTGAGTGGAAGCTTAAATAGGATTTATTTCTGTTTCCCAAAGAAAAATACAGAGGCATAAAGTGTCTTCTCTGTGGCCTCATTGAGTCAGTAAGAGAATATATCAGCTTCCCACCTTCACCTCTAAAGTCTTTCAGAGTAGAAAATTCTGTCTTGAAAAGTACACTGGGGCTTCAGACTCTCTCCTGGAGAGCAGACTCCAGGGAAGGTGACTCCAAAAGAATGCTTTGCAACCTAGAAGAAACAAAATTCAGTTCCTTTTAATGAAAACACCAGAGATGAAGATGTCCCTGCTCACAGGGGTTGGACTAAATGGTGCATATTCATATATCTCATACATGATGCATAAATTCCTTGCAAATTAAGAACTCTTCTGGATTTTGTCAACTTCTATCGTTTAATCCTGGTGGTTCCATAAAGACTGAGAGAAGGTGGAAGAATGTTTGTCTTTTCCGATAAGGAGGTTGTAACTCTTTATGGGCCACAAGTCACTGCCATCTCTGTGTGAAGAGTTTCTTGATTATCTCATCTCTTGCTTGAGCTAGTAAAAAAATACTACATGCAGGGTTTCGATTTTAACATTATGTTGTAACCTAAAACTCTATTTAACACACTACTTAAGAGAATTAATACAGCATAACTTTCTAACATTACACATATAATATTCATTGTAACATTTGCAAAAAGCCAATCATAAAATATGCATTCTACACAGAAAGTGTTGAAATGGTAAAAATAGTCAAAACCCCTTAGGAATTGGAAGGAAAACCTGAGACAGTGGCAGCTAACAGCTCAGAAACGCGTGGCTTTTGCTCCTCTCTTCGACCTGAGAGCTTCCTGGGCAGGGGCAACTCTTCCAATTGCATCAGCGTGGCCATGGCTGGGAAGGCAGCGAGCAGATGGGTTTAGCTTCTCCTGCCAGCCCCTGAAGTGCCAGCTGTCATTTGTGTGCGCTGAGGATTCCGCTTCAGACTCGGCACTGGCGCAGCTGCTCCTGTGGCGCTGCTGGCACGCGGGCGCAGCGGTGCTGCAGCAGCTGTCCCGCACACAGGGAGGGCTCTGGAGCCTCCCAGGGCCCCCAAGGAGCGGAGCAGGAAACGTGCCAGGATCTGCTGCAGGGCCGTGGGGTTGTGGGGGATCCTTCGGTCTCTTGGATGGGGCAGGGAGGGGGCAAATGGAATCAAGATGAGACAGGGATCAGGCAGCCCCACACCAGGCAGCGTTTTCTCCTCTGAGAGCTCCTCGGAACTGAGCGAGCTGGTGAATCCTGCGGTGCAAATGAGACCCGGGAGTGAGGGAAAGGCTGGCTGGGAAGGAGTCAGATAAACCCGTGTGGGCATTTCCCTTTCCAAGGGGCTCCTGGGGAGACAAAGGAGACAAGAGGGATTCCCCATCTCACGACATTCCCTTATTTCCTTCAGTAGCTCTATTGCAGTCACTGCATACAAGAGTTTACTTGATCCCTTTGATGCCAGCGAGCACCAAGAACTTGAACCTCGCTGGAGTCCAACCCTGTCTACCTATCACCGAGCAGAGGGAAAAGATAAAGAACCTGGGTGGGGGTTGAGCCAAAATGGCATTTTGCCACTTCTGATCTCCTCCCAGCTTTTGCAGTAGGGCAACAATCCCATCGCTGCAAACCACTCCCTTTTGCAAGGCACATGTGGACCTCGCTGGTAGCTCAGGGCTCCTGAAGGGGCTGGTGCAGTTGGCAACTGGAGCTGTTGTTGAACTTTTCACATTGCTTAACCCCCCCTGCCAAATGCCATCAAGTGGCTGAGGAAGGACACAAAAAGATTACCCTGGAGGAAGTGAGGCCAAAAGCTTAGAAAAGGATGAAAGAAATGCTCTGATGATGACAATGACAAAAAACACAATTTATTTTTGACAGCAAATGAGCACCGCCACGAAGGGATGAGGGGCTGCGGAAGCCCTGACAGGACAAGGCAGTGGGAAGGCACGGGGGGGACGTGTGAGGGAGTGGGTAACGCTGGCTCGGGGAGGAAAGTGGGTTGGAGCCAAAGAGACCACTCACCCCGATGTTCCTGTGGCAAACAGGGCACGTTTATTCTCAAGCCCTTCCTTCTAAAGGGCCTTTGAAAAACCCAGTCTGGATTATTTCACTGGTCTGATCTCTGTGCCCCTTCAGATTCTGGCCTGGGGAATGCCTGCAGCCTTGGGAGAGCTGTGATGGGCCAGGCCCCTGTCAGTCAAACCAGGGCTGGTACATTCACCCCGTACAAGCCAGCCTGCACGGTGACACGGCAACAGAGTGCGAGGCACAGCTGCGGGTGCTCCCCGTGAACCTCAGCTCTGGGACCGCTGCCTGCCCCAAGCTTCAGGGGCTGCAGGGGGAGCCCGGCTGGGCTCTGCCCTGGGGCCATCCTGCAGGGACAGCTGCACACAGGGAGCATTCCCTGCCACAAAGAGCCAAGCCAGGGCTGCAGGGCAGCTGCTCCAGCCCCGACTGCACTGCTGAGTGCTGTGCTCTGGGGCTGGGGCTCCCCGCACAGGGGACTGCACTGGTGTGCCAGAGGAGACAGAGAAGCTGCAGCTTCAGCCTAACCGAGGTGGGTGTGTGGGCTGGGAAGAGTGGGGAGGCTCAAGGGGATTCACAGAGCTCATCCTGCTGCAAGGACGAGGAAAACTGAGCGGGAACTCAGCAGTGAGGAGAGCTGGGGGCTGGAGAGCAGCTCTGAATGACACTAAAATCCCACCGGAGCTCTGAGACATTGCTGCTCCTCAGCCAGTGAGAGGATGAGTCCCTAAGCCTGGGGCTCGGCCTTCCTCATGGTGAGGGGCACCAAGGAAGGCAACAGTGTGATGGAGACTGGAATGGGCTGGGAGCTCACTGACGGAAAATAGGGAGCAGTTGGGACGAAAAAGGCAGGTGGGGGAGAGAACAGTTCAGAGAAGGGCTGAGCTACAGCTTGAGCAAGCTGCAAAATGTCATTTGGGGTCATCCCAGATTGATTTAATTTCAGAAGTTATTGAACAAGTTTATTTCTTGGGTGGTGCCATGTTTTTCCTTGGAGGTGTACACTCTGCAAACTTGAGCTGTGTTGCTGAAATGCTCAAGCAAGTCTGTGCTGCAGGTCACACCATTTCTCCTTTGGTGATTGCGGCCTGGTGCTGAGCTCCAGCAGAGCCCTGGCAGAGCCCAGAGCAGCCTCAGCACCCGCAGAGCCCGGCTGCAAGGAGAGAAACCAGAAAGCGCCCGTCAGCTGAAGGCTGCTGTCCCCTTGTCCCAGCTGCCCACAGAGCCCAGGCCATGCTGGCCGTGCCCAGAGCTGTGCCCAGAGCTGCCCATCACTGCTGCCTTTGGGAGCAGAGCAGCAGGGCAGGACATTCCCAGCCTGCAGCCAGCCACGGCACATCCAGCCCTCAGCAGCTGCCCAGAGCAGGACGCTCCTGTGCTCGCTGCCATCTCCCCAAAGCTCTGATCCCACCATCCCCAGCAGACAGGACCCACCTCACACCATCCACCGCTGGAAGAAAAGCTGGTCCCAAACGATGCCCTCAGCCTTCTCCAAGGGCACGGCCCATCCACGCCGCAGCTGCTCCCAAGCACGTCCTCAAAGTATTGAAAATAGATTACAGACAAAAAGGGGAAGAAGAAAAAAGGTCAAAGATCTTATCTCTGTTGGGGCTTTAAGGAAGGCCCAACCCCTGCACGCCATGGAAAAACCCACCACGGGTGAGGGAATCCCAGGTTTCTCCCTTCCCCTGCACTGCCCCCATGGTGTTCCCAAAGCAAACAAGGGCAGTGGAGCAGCCCAAGCCCTTCCCTGCCTGCAAAGCAAAGCAGCCCCTGCACAGGCTCTGCAGTCCCACCTCTGCTCCCACCGTGGGGGTTTGTTTGTGTTGGGCTGGCTGCCCCAGCCCCAGCCCAGGGCACGGTGGGTGTTGGGGGCTGTTGGCAGGGCCAGGAGCCCACTCCCATTTCGTACCCACCCCAGCCCATGCCCCCAGCCCTGCCAAAAGCAGCCTGGCAGCTGACTGAAGGATCAGCTGCATCCGCCCCAGCAAAGGGGGAACCTTTGGTTCCCAGCCAGGCTGAGCAATGCCCAAATCTGGGAGCATCCCCTGTGTGTGGACTCATCTGCAAATTCCCTGTGGAACCTGGCTTTAAAGGAGATGTCAGAATCAAAGTCCACCATCTTCAGCCTGCCGGTGGTCAGGTGGAGCAAGAGGTTGTCATCCTCGACGTCATCCTCGCTGCCCCCAGCAGCAGCAGTGCCCGACCCAGCTTTGCTTCTGAGATCAGACGAGACCGGGCGCTCTCAGGGCGGTGTGCCATAGGCACCTGGCAGCCCCTCAGCAGCGCCCTTCAGCCCACCACACCACGCTCCGGGCACAAGCCCAGAACCCCACATGTTGAGAGTTTAGCTGAAGAATGGCTGCGCAGCAAGGGGCACGAAAGGGTTAAGTTGATGAGAGTGTGAGAATACGTGCCTTGTAGCACGAAAACTATACCCCTGAGAAACAGATGTTTTCTATCAAACTTGAGAGCCAGACATCTCCTAACAACCTTGAGTATACAGATGTCTAGATAAGAATGAAATATTGCTTGGTATGCAGAAAAGTAATCAAGTATAAAGAAGCAGTAACCGCAAGGCTTATCGCAAAGAGATATATGTGTTAATAGAAAGGTAACCAATCCTGAGCTTCGCTTTTGCAATATGTATAAACTAGTTAGTGCTTGTATAAAGAAACTGTAATCGACTCCAATAAACTGGAAACTTGTTGACCATGATACCATGAGACTTGTTTTCCCGCAACGATCTCACCCAACAATTGGCGCCCGAACGGACGGAACCCCCCGCCTGGATCTGTGAGACGTTGCGTTGGGGTCGGGTCCCGCAGCTAGACGGGCGGCGATTAAGCTTTACCTGGAGCCGCGCCCTGAGTGACCACAGCGGTGGGCTCAGCCGATACGTGCTGCCGAAGCCTAGAGGGTCTGCAACAGCGCTGACGTGAGTAATGGATGGGCAAGCAGCATATAACCTTTTCACCTCCTTTCTCAGACGGAGGCAATTTAAAGGGCTTTATTTAGATAGGGATCTCCAGGCTTCTGTACAGCTTCTCTTTCATATTCTCTCAGAGAGCTGAAAAAGTTAAAGAAGCCGATTTAGAACAGTTGGTCCTGTGGGCAAGAAGCAAAGGCAAGCTGCAAAAGCCTTCGCTGATTTTTAGTGAAACCGAATGGCAAGAGTTGGGGCAGCTGCTTTGGGACGCAGTGATAGAGGGCGGAAAAGACAAGAAAACACTGTTGGAGCATGGAGGCATTTGGAAAAAAGTTTTACATACCCTGCAAAGCATGCCTGCGGAGAAAAAAGCAGCGGAAGCCGCAATTCAGGCATTTGCGCAACCCACATCAGAACAGACAGAAGTTCAGAAGCCATCTCGGGTTGAAAAATTCTTTAATGTTTGTAATATGCGGCCAGTGCGAGGGCAGAAAGCTCCAGTCAGCCCCTCTGTCAGGGATTTTGTAGCTCGTTGGGAGGAAAGCGCAGAGCCAGGCGGCGCAGGGCCGGCCAGCGCGGGACACACCGGACGCATGGCCGGAGTGGAAGTGTGCTCGCAAGCGGCGGATGTTAACAGCTCGGCGGTCCCGCGGAGTGAGGCAAACCCAGAAGGGGCCCCGTCGGGTACCTCGGGAGGCAGGGAGACACCTGAGGAGGCAGGTGGAGTTGGTGACGAAACAGGGCTGAGTCAGGAGGAGGAACTCAGGGGCGGAGATCAAGGCGGAGACCAGGGCGGAGACGGGAGCGCGGCGGCGCTGGCCCCTCGCCCCCCCGCAGCGGCCGCGGCGGCGGCTGCCGCGGGTGCGTGCAGGCGCAGAGGCGCGGCTCGCCGGTACCCAGCGGCGGCGGCAAGCAGCCTGGCGCCGTTTGGGGGGGCCGGGCACAGCCCTGCTAGCGGGATCGCAGAGACAGTTACACAGACAACAGCAGCGCAGACCCCCGCCCCAGGCAGCCCCCACCCCACCACCGTGGCGCGGCAAGGACAGGAGCGAGACGGCGCCGCCCCCCCCTCATCTCCCCGCAGCACCCAGCAATGGCGGCGGAGACGCTGCACAGCCTGGTTGCCACGGTAACGACAACGCCGAGAGCAGCAGTGTCACCAATGGAGGAATTGCAACACTACAGCAAAATTTTCAACAGAATTTTTTCATTTCCTCGCAAGAGTCAGAAGACGTAATGAAAAAGTATAGCAGTACCGAGTGTTTTCCAAGATACCAAGAAGGATGGACATTATGCAAATCAAAGTTATTTCAAATACAATGTGGATGAAAATTACTGTAAAAAAAAAAAGATAGAAATGGTAATAATGATTTAATTGCCAAAAATGTCTTTGAAAACAAAGATTTGAGAAAAGTCAGTCAGATGGAATGTTGGTATTAAGTTCACAATTTCTGTTTTTGAGTTTTTATAAATAATAATATAAGTAATTATGATTTTTGAGTTTTATAGATAATAAGATAAATGATGATTGTCAAGTTTTGTAGGTAATGATAAGTAGTGATTGTTACTAATGTTATATGAATGCTTTGAAAAGATTGTCTTAAACTATTTTAAACATTTCTTGTTGATAAGTTGATCATATAATGTAAGTTGTCTGATTTTTGTGATAAGAATTATTATTAAGATGTTAAAGTATTGAGGTGTTGTTTTAATATTTACAGTCAGTTTTCATATGTTTTATTGTCTTTTTAGGTGATTGATTGCAAGATGTGTTTTTTCAGGATCCTGTGTTTTTGACTTTTTAATTACTCATGTGATTTTTTTTTTTTGTTCAATCTTCTATGCAGCTGCAATTTATCTTCTTTTACAAATTTATAGTCCAAGTTTTAGTTCAAGATTTCAGAGTTCAAATTTTCAGATTTTTGAAGAAAAAGTTTGTTGTATTTAAAAAATTTTTGTCTTAAAAGAAATTTTAGACAGGTTCAATTATTTGATGGTTTGATAATTTTTAATAATAAGGTTTTTTACTTATAACAGTTATTTCTAAGACTTTCATTTTATAATGCGTTAATACATATCCTCCAATTAGGGTTTGAGCTCTGGCCAAGCTCTGGCTCTACGTGGATGGTGTGATTGACCCAGGTGTTTTCTGCATCAAAAAGTATTCAAGTCCTTTTGGCTTGACAATTTGACCGTATAAGACAGCTGAGCCTCAAAGGGAGTTTTGGAGAGACATGATCCGGACATGTTTTATCCAAATCTTTGTTGTTTTAAGGTTTTTCAGCTGCTGCAGACTCTGGGATGACAATTTGATAGTGTAGCACTTGGTAACTGTGATTTTATATGTAATATTAATTGTGTATTATCTGATTGATTTTTATTTGTTGTTAGTTTCTTTACTATATGCATTGTTTTGTTCTTAATGTTTTTCATGTTTATAACAAAGATGTTGATATTTCCATTTCTTCATGCAAGTTTTAAGGAACAGAATTAAGAGAGGACCCTCCAGTCCCTGTGGGGGTGTTGGGTTTGTTTGTGTTTTAACAGGTGCAGAATCTAGATGGATTTCAGTGAAGAATGTGGAACTTATCAATCACAAGGATTGACCCTAATCTCCCCCTGCATCTTACAATTTAGAATACTGAAGACCACCTACTAGGAGCTGTTACTCAGCAGTTAGAGAAAACAGGGAAGACAGCAGTACTGGAATGGCTGTCACCTCCATTGCAACAAAGAAAAACTATAACTTCAAAAATCGAAAATTTGGCATTGCTGATCAAAAAAGGACGCATCCGCATTTTGGAAATCAGTGGCCTGGAACCAACGGACATTAATCTGCCCATAGAAAAGGCCACGTTAGATTGGTACCTTTTAAACTCCACAGCCCTAGCTGAAGCATTATTGTCGTCTGCAGCACAAATCAATACCGGTCCCCTTATACCGAAACCTTTGCGATGGCTAGGAGAATGGAGCTGGCTACAGAAACCCCTCAGAGAAGACAGGCCCATTCCAGATGCCACTACGGCTTTCACAGACGCTGGAAAACGCTCCAGGAAGGCGGCAGTAGTCTGGAAAAAGGGACAACAATGGCATCAACAAATATTAGAGGCAACATCAGAGGACAATTTGCAGACTTTGGAGTTGTTAGCAGTCATTTAGGCTGTAACTAACTTGCATGAACCATTGAATGTTGTATCAGACTCGCTTTATGTTGTGGGGGTAGTATCAAGGATTGAGGATGCTACTATCAGAGAAGTACAGAATCAGCGACTTTATGAACTGTTTCTTCAACTAAAACGTGCCCTCAGAATTAGAACTGAACCATATTCGGTCATCCATGTTCGTAGTCATAAATGGGACGAAGGGTTAGGAGAAGGAAATGCCAAGGCTGATAAGCTAGTCTCGCTTTCTCATCAAACAGTACTTCCTAGGCAGTCATTAGCACGGGAAAGCCATGCTATTTTCCATCAGAATGCTAAAGGCATGTCGAAAGAATTTCAGATTCCCTTAGAAGAAGCTAGAGCTATAGCCAAAGCCTGTCCAATTTGTTGTAATCAAAACAGAGGCATGGGTCTAGGTGTGGGAGTCAACCCAAGGGGCCTGCATGCTAATGAGATATGGCAGATGGATGTTACTCATGTACCCAGCTTTGGCCGCCTTAAGTATGTCCATGTGACTATAGATACTTATAGTCATTATATATGGGCTACTGCACAGACTGGCGAACGGGCTATACATGTAGAACGGCACCTGCACAGTTGTATTGCTGTCATGGGAACCCCACAGAAAATCAAAACAGACAATGGTCCAGCCTACTGTAGCAAGCGTGTAGCTCGTTTCATGCAGTTTTGGAACATTGCTCATGTTACAGGGATTGCCAACTCACCTACTGGACAAGCAATAGTGGAAAGAGCAAATAGAACCCTTAAACAGTATTTGGAAAAATATTATGACATTAGTAGCATACAGGATAGACTACTTAAATGTTTGTTTGTGCTTAATCATTTATGTATTTTTGGAAACAGCGAGGTGCCGCCTGTGATTTCACATTTTTCCCCGCTGAAACAGCCTGGGCCTGAAGCAGTGGTCAGGTATCGGGACCCGAAGACAGGAATCTGGCAAGGCCCAGCTAAGGTTGTATACTGGGGCAGAGGCTACTTATGTGTTTCTACACCAACAGGCACTTTGTGGGTTCCTGCAAGGTGGACGCGACCAGCAGTTATCGATGAACAGTCCAGAGCAGAGGAGGAAATACCGTCTGCAGAAAGTGCTGGCACCGATCCTGCGAGAAGTTGAAGAGGAATTTAATATCAAGTTTTTATACGAAACTGCACAAGAAGTAGCTGAAACGCTTCTCCCAGTTTTACAGAGAGACTTTTTACGCCATTGCCAGACTGCTTGCTTAGCTTGCTTTGCACATAATCACCAAGCGTGGGTAAAAATTTATTGTGGGAACTGTAATAGTAACTGGTGGGTTTTCCAACGGGTTCTTAGCAACGGACTTTGGTGCCTTAATTGTAATTTTGCCTGGCATAGAGAAACGCCGCAGCAAGCACTAACTGCGTTAACAGGAGATACTATAAGGAACAGTATAGCCAGAATAGAAAACAGGGAGGATCTAGAGCTTAGAAAATTGGCGTGGCAGGTACGCCACATAGTCAAAAAGATATTAGGAGACAGACGCTCATGCATTTTAGACTCTTGTTGTGGTCATGAAGTTCGTATACCAACTCAGTGGCAGGTGCCACCCAATCAATGGGATTATACTTGTCGTAGGTTTACTAAAATTAATAACCGTCGCAAGAACTACTACGGTAAAACATCCCAACATTAACTCCTTATTTCCTAGGCAGAACGTATGGATCTCATTAGCAAGACAGCTAAATAGAACAGACTTTTGTGTGCCCTTAGCCCAGC